GCTCTGTTGCAGCACACCTGGGCTTGCAGTCTGAAATCTAACAAGCAGAAGAACAGGAACATCTGGTCACAGCTAGAGAGAGGTGCGGTGTTCTGCAGATAGCAAAGGGAGGGAGAGCAATCAAGTAGCACAGCTCGCTTATTCTATAAAAAGAAAGGGGATTTATTACTGTTTTCTTAGCAGATGTCATTTTCCAAGGTGACACACGGTTCATAATAAAGATTTACTGTAAGTGCAGGTATAAAAGGGAACAGTAATATAGTTATTACAAGAGCCAGCACCATAAAATTACACTATAGGAAAGTACAATGAAGCTACTGGAGAAGGTGCAATGCAAGAGAGACACAAAAACAAAAGAAAAAAAGACAAAAGAATTTAAACTACCATAACAGTAGCAAGCATATACTGAGTGTGGATGCGCAGCCATTGTTTTTAGCCATTTAATTACAGCTGAATATGTGAAACAGGTTAATTCCATTACCAAATGGAGACTTACATGAATTCAGTGAAACACTCATTTGAGAGCTGAGGTGTTGCCAAAACAGGGGTCTTGAGGTGGCCATAAAATGTGGTCCAGGACCGCGTGGTACAAAAGGCTGTGTGCACTTAATTCAGCCGATGAGGAACATTAATAACTACTATTTATTTCTATCAGTAGTAGTAGTATTTCAAAACCTTAACTATTTTGGCTTCTTAAGGCTGCGTTCTTAAACTGTATCCGTTTTCACTGCATGGGGTTCAGTCCAGGACCCTCTGCCTCTGTGCAGGTTCTCATCCCAAAGTCCGGACAATCTCTGCACCGCGGCTGGCAGAGAGACTCCCGGCAGAGAGGAGCTTTTTCCTCTCCCAACAGGGAGTAGGAGAGGAGCCGCTGTCCCAGGCCTGTATCACAGGCGTCACCTCATTCTCTTTCTGTCATTGTCATTGGCTCAACTGTTAGCCCTGTCACTACAGGCTGTTCTCAAGGCAAGACTATAGACCTGTTTCAGGGCCTGCTTCTGAAAACCGTTTTCACTGTGTGTAGAGGCTCCCTGTGTTGCTTTAGGCTGTCCATTCCTCCTCGCTAAACAAAACTGCTGTTTAGTATTATGCTGGTATTCGAGTGTAATTGCATATCTTCCCACCTGGGTAAATTTAAAGGTAAATGCAGAGACAAAGGTGCACAAGACTCAGTGGTAGAAGCTTTTTAGCGTTTTATTTAGGGGGATTTGACCTTATGGTTTAGTTCAGGCCATGGGACTTGGGTAATAAAAACACTGATTCTTCAGCCCAAGACAGGGGAAGATGGGAGTTTCAGGCAGGAGAGAGTAGAAATGAGAGACTGATCAGGACGGTAAGGCTTTGTGCTCACTGCTGTAACCAATGGAAGACGGTGTGGATTGGAGAAGTGGGACTGAGGGCCTTTCTGCCCTTCAGCTGTGGTACTAATAGAAATCGGCCTACACTTTCTCAGTAATTTACAGACACAAATATAATTAGTTGAATTAGAATGATTGCCTTTGTAAGTCTGTAAACTTAGAGGGAATGTTAGGAATGAAATAAGCTTCGTTTCACAAACATTTCATATTACGCCTAATAAATTTGACACTCGCTTGTTTCAAATGCGAGTTATCGGAGCCTGTGGATGCAGATATAGCACTAGGCGAGTGCCAAGGACTGCAGAAGCCCTTGTGGCTGAAAGCAGTAGGGTTCGCTCTTGACTAGGAGGCTCCCTACAGCAGCTCCTGCAATATTGATGGTGCACATTTGCAGGGCTGAAAGCACAGATTGTTCGGCCAGCCTTGGGACTCGGGAGAGTCCTGCAGGGAGGCAGCCGTTCGTCTGTGGGCGGGTGAGGGTGGAGGCGGCCTGCTGGGTGACCTGAATCAGTGGGTCTTTGTTCTGCCTGCAGCTCGCCTCAGAAGATCTATTCCAAGGAGAGGAACTGACTGCGGGTGTTAGCCCCCGACCGGTATTTACTGTAAAGACGCACGACGTTGCTAAGTGGTTTCACTCTTAACGCTGGCATGTTCAGTTTCAAATGCCATCTTGAAGCTTTTTATGCCCCCTTACTCTCTGCTTTGCTTGTCTGATCTGAAACAAACAGAGCTGGTTAGAGGTCAGGCCTGGAGCCTGACCAGAATACTTCTTCAACCCAGGCAGGGCCTGTTCTCTCAGCTCCTGCTCCCACCTGTTTTTTGCTGGATGTAAGATAAGATAACTTTATTAGCCATATACAATTTCTTGCATAAGGAATTCATCTTTTTGCGTACCATAGTTTGCTCTCCATGAGACACAGATAAGGAGAGAAGCTTGGGGTCAGCGGTCAGGGCCCCAATGGAGTAAGATTTCTCTGCTGGGCGCGGGATTTGAACCAGCAACCTTCCAGCCACAGGGGCAGAGCCTTACCCACAGTACCACTGCTCAACCCCAATGTGTTGTCACAGCATCATGGAAGAACTGTCAGTGTTTTTGTAGATGATTTTGTTGGGATGACTTATGCTGCTGTAACTTTTGTTTTTATAGAGTTGGACACCATCTGAGGCAGATTGTAAAGTTGGCTGTTATATTTATGCAGTGTTTTGAATTCAAAAGACAAAACACTGGAACAGATGTCTCATGTTGGAATGTGAATAAAAAGCAGAAATATGGGAAATTTGTGAGTGACAATATAAGGAATATTTTAACATTTGCACTGGTGCTGGTCAGGCCAATTGTAACAGTGCAACAAGACAGCGTGTATTTTGGCTTCTAAATCACATTGTTTGTTACTGCAGTGAGCTTTGAATGTAGTTCTACAGATATCATAGTAAATTCCATCGTCTAACTCATTTCTTAAAGCTGTGGGTGGAAAGTCGGACAGCAGGTAATGAACAGTTCTGAAAACAACAACAGTAAAAGGTTTCTGGTTATTTCTTAAATTGCCCACCCACCTGCGGAGCCAGCTACCTGGAAGATTGGCTGTTTGGGAACATTGATTTCAACCGGTGCTGTGTGGATGACCAGTTTTGACAAGGAAGAGAGCTGAGTACTTTCGGTTGTATAGTTGTCTGGATGTGTCTTGGCTGTTAAGAGCACGACCTGTTCAAATCCGCCGGAACACCACCCTTGTTCTGAAGAAGTCTGTCCTGTGTGGTAGTACACCAGTAATGTACGGAAAGGCGCTGTGGGAGACTGGCTAAGTCACGAGAGACACTGAGACACAAACAGAAACGTTGTGAAAGTCACGATAAAAGTGTTAGAGGAACCAGAACTACCACACATATATTTCAGTAAGCATTTATATCAGGGGGCTGAATCTGCAGTCTGCTGTGACTTGTAATATGTCTGGTGTGCCCATCACCTTCTCTTTATCTCGTACCAGTTTCGCAAAAGATCAATAAATAAAGAAAGAGAAGGCAGCACTTGAGTTTTCTTCCCCCCCTGTATTAAGAATATAGGTTTTTCCAGTGTCCTGATATTTCTAAAACCTTGGAGAAGCTACAAGGGGCTGGAGGTTTGCTCTCGGTGTAGCCTGGCTCTGCACGACCCTGCCTGTGGGGCAGATTCACAGCCCGACAGCCCGGACTGCTGGACAACCCCAGCTCGCTGGGGCGTCACGTCCCCTCGCCACATCCCGTTTGTGCCACGCCTCGCTGCTCGGCTCAGATCAATCGTCAGGGCTGCGTTTTGTCAGCCTCCGCATCGTGCTGCAGCTGGAATGGGACGGAAGACACTGGGCCACTGACTCGGGGGATATGCGATTCCACAGGCTCATTTCTAACACACCCGGCTCCAAATTACCACAGTCCGCCCTCTGTGCTCAGAAACAAACACAAAGCAGCTAAAGACTGCGGTTGGATCTATGAAACCACTCTGTAGAACCTGACGTTAGTATCTGCAGTGTCCACATTGATCAAAACTCAATTTCCCTCCTGACTGTATTCAGATAAGCAAGAATTGACCCATAGATTTTCACTGCGCTGTTTAACCAAATGTATAGATGTTTACTCGTGTTTCTTGCAGAACAGCACCGGTTTGTTTTCACAGCAAATTGAAAAGAAAGGAGGCTTTGGCAGGAGATAACATTGCCCCACAGTGGAGTAAAAAACAGGCAGCTGCCGGGAGTAAACGCTGCCCTTTGAGAATCTCAGGTTCCGGCACAGTGGGCAGCAGAGCTGTGACAGAGGAGGCTGGGAAGGGGACCAGGGTCAGTGAAAGGCCCAGAGTCCTTACTAGAGGCCTGCTGGGTGCTGGGGACGGGGGGGTATTAGGACTGTGGTGCAATGGAATACTAATCCTGGGCAGCAGCTCTTGCTGTACTGCTCATTGCTCATGACAGGAAGCCCCCCCCACGCACCACCACCTCCCGACAGGCCCCTCGCAGTCACATTGTGCCAGGAAAGTGTTTGAAATGCAGAGTGGTCTCCATGGCAACCAAATCCTCTGTTCCTAGCCAGTCAGGGCTGGGGGGCAGAGTAGAGGCTTTTATCAGCGTGAAGGGAGAGAGAGAGAAAGAGAGAGAGGGGAGAAAGAAAGAAACGGTACGACAAGGGAATACAATAGAAAGGACCGTTTATGTTTTTTTTTTTATTTTTGACTTAAGCAGGAAAAACACCGGGAATATTGCTCGTCTGAATCCAGGCGGATCAGAGATGCCTCAATCCACGAGCTTCTCTGATGTCGAGAGCTTCCCCAGAGTGTGCCTGTCGCCCCGGCGATTTCCTTCTCCTGGCGCTGCTGCAGCAGCTGCCCGACACGCCCCGGAGGAGCATCAGACATCCGCTGACAGCCATCAGTCACACTGGGCTGAGTGCTGTAGTTCTAGCACACAGGACTGGATGCTTTCTGAGTCACAGTGTTCAGGAGTGGCCTGAAAGACACGTGTGAGGCATGACGGAGGAGCGCACCTCAGTGCAGTGTAAGAAATCTGTAGGATAGGTACTCACTGCAAACCCTAATTAATATTAGGGTTTGTAACTTGACTCCAGTTAACTGAGTAGTGTTGTAGCCATGCAGTTTTATAGTGAGATTCTTTCGTTGGGAGAGTAGGGATGTCATGAGATCTTGCGCTATCTACAGTCACTGGACAGTTACTGACTTCTTCAAACTGCTCCTCTGTGTCTGAGAGAGAGGCGAGTCCGATGTCAGTTGTGGTGACATGTGAGCTGCTCTGTCCATCTCCTTCGTTAGCAGCCATGACCGGTGTGCTTCACCCTGCAGTCCCTCCGCTTCAATCAAATTAATTCAGTCTCCTAGCCTACACTGCTCTCTGTGTCTTTGAAAGGACATGTTAAACCCCTTCATCTCGCATGTTTTTAACTTTTTCCAATCTTGCCTCGATACCGCCAGCCCACGGCCCAGCCCGTCATCACAAAACAGAATTGTGTGTTTGTGCCGGAGTGAAATTTGCCTGTGGATGTGGGGGTTGTGTTGTGTGGGTGCTGAGTAACTGGAGCAACAAGGAGCAGTATGTGTGGAGTGATCAACCAACTGCCTGTATTGTCAACCCAGTGGAAGGGAATGACTGTGTGCAATTATACATGAAGTAAACCGATTTCCAGCTTAGTCACAGGCGGCTGTTCTTTCCTGTAAAATTGAGTGTATGCTGTGTATCAGATCTGCAAATGATCAAGAACAGACATCTGAAAGGATTTGTTAAAAAAGAATTAAAAACAAGTTACGTGCTCCGAAGAAAAATGTACTGTATCTTCAAACAGAATCATTTAAAAAAGTGTATGCATTCTCTTTGGTGGTGAAAGAAAGGGAAAATCCCATCAGTTTTTATTTTCATCAGATAGTCGGCAGCCCTTAAAAACAATCTTCTAGGATGTAATGGAATGGAATGTATTTGACACAATAAATAGTGAAGAGGCTTGGATGCTGGAGTCTGGTCGCTAGCCCCCACAGTGACCTCGTCTACAGCGAAGGCTGCATACTTGGTAATATTCTGATTTCAATAGCTGAAGCGAAATTATATATATTACAGCCCACCACCAGATGAGCTCAGTTGGACTTGACAGTGGGAGAAAATTAGCCCTAGAGCAGGCAGACACCACGCATTTCATCATGAAAAAATCATTTTGCCTTTTATTTCTAATGAAAGGAGGTTCTGTCCTGGTTTCTGTGCTCTTATAATTAAATGGTAAGCAGCGTATTCTCATCTGTAAGCAGTAAAACAACCCTACGTCCTGGGCTGAAATGGATTCACTTGTCCCACAGTCTTAAATACCGGGGCCAGTTTTAAAGTCTTTCAGCCATTTGGCAAACAGAGTTGTTATGTTTAACGTCTTCAGGGCTTCTGGTCTAGAAGCCCCAATTGACCTCTCATTCAAATGGACTGGACTAGAATGACCCTTTGCGAAGAGTTTTTCTTGGCGTGCGCAAGTCTTTTAAAAACTCCTGTCATGGCAGAGGGAATTGGCCCAAAGATGGACAGAGTTACTGTAGGAAATCTGCAGTTTACACGGCCAGCGTGAATTTGGTGCAGTAGTCCAGGGAATGACCTGCAGTGCTGAACTGGGATGTGTCCCAGCCTGCCGGGATATTGCCTGGTGCGATCGTGTCCTTTGTTATGGGTTGAAGATTGTGAATATGTATATGTGAGGTAAAAGACAGCGCTGGTAACGAGCACTTTCCTACACCCCCACACTCCCACTTATCCCCAGAAGAACGTGGCGAGTCGCTCTGCTGAACCTGCCAGCAGAGTAGTTCTGTTTTTCCATCTCTTTATCTTGCTTTCAATTCTTCATCTCCTCCTCCCCTCCTTTCTGCTTGCCTTGTTTTTTTCTTTCAGGGGGGGATGCTGTGCTTTCTCAGATGAAGCGACACAATGCACACATGCAGATCGCATCTTAGTTGTGCATCCCAATAACAGATACAGAAGGAGAAAGTCTAATTTGCCTTTTGTTGCTGTCTGGGGTTTTTTATCGTTGTCGATGAAGAATCCGTATTGGCGGCTTGGAAAGCCACGTCCGACAGATAGGGATCTGTTCCTGCCACATTCTTATCGTTTTGAATTTGCTCGTTGTCTCTGTGTGCCAGTGCACTGCGGAGACAATGGAATCACGTGGCATGCTGAAACAGAGAGAGAGGGAGAGAGAGAGCTTTGCGTCGCCACAGATGATACCTGCTGTAGATGTGTTTAATTAGAGGTGGGGAGCCAGTCAAGTGCTGCTGACAGGGATATTGCAGTCTCACCCTCGAGAGGGGCAGCCTATTTTGTGAGAAAAAAAAAACACCTTTAGAAAGCTGCCAATGTAATGTTCATCCTGGATTACAGAAGAGGTAAAATCTGGTGAAATCAGGTAAAATCAGAATAATATGAAATAGGGCACAATGAAGTCATAATAAGCGCAGTCTTTAAACACAGCAGAGGAGTCAGGGAACAAAACCCTTTAGGGACAAAGACTGCGAGGCGAAGAATGTGTCAGGTATGACTTAGATGAGCTTAAATTCAAAATGCTGTGGAAAGTTGCCGTCATAATCTTTCAGTAGGAGTGACACTGAAAAATACACATTTTTCAGCTAATTCCATTTGCATTTGCATTCCGTTGTTTTAAACATTCTGTACTACAGCTTGTCAGCTTGGGTTATTCTGTTCATTATTGCGAGTTCTTGAAAGGCTGAAAGCACATCCCAGCACATCTAGGAACAACTGAAGGATTCAGGCTATTCTCCTCTGCTGTGTCTCCTCTACAGTTCGTTTCTACCTCTCAAGGGTTTTGTGCTGTGCCTCATCACCTGTGGGACACAGGGGCTGATACTTAACCTGCCAGGCAAAGCCAGAAAATCTGGAGAGTTGTAAGGATATTCAGACCTGCACCTCAGGTGCCTGTGCAGTCAGCTGAGGGGAAAAGGTAACACAAGTAAATGACACAGAGGAAGAGTTCAGATTTGTGGCAGACACTTTCAGAACCAAACCAAATAACACCGTATTTATATGAATGAATTCTGTTTGTGTCAGAGCTGATGCCTCTTTGTTGTGCACTGGCTGAACCTTGCCTTTTCTCTCTAAACGTTTTTTTTTTTCCCACCCTGTCTCAGGATAGCAGGCGCTTACTATGACAACGGAGACGGGATCGGAGTCGGAGGTGAAGAACGCGGCGGAAGAGCCTCCTCAGCAGAAGGGGGCGACAATGAGCTCACAGGACACTGCAAATGCTGATGGCAAGAAGGCCAAGCAGGTAACGTCTTACCAAGAGCACCTGGGAGAGATTGTGTCTTTGTACCTCAGGTGGTCCTCACAGTTGACAGTGAGCACTGCTGACGAAATACTGAATTGAGTTTATCCATGTATTAGTCTTGTGTTATACTTGTTCTAGTCTTGCTGAAAGGGGGTGCAGTGATCCTTCAGTCCTCTTCTCAATCATCAGTGAAATACTCAAACCAGCTACAAAGACTTTCCTGAATACGTCCCTCTCTCAGCTGAGCAAGGCAACACAATACATTATATTAATTCCCCAGTTCCTGACCTCACCTCCTGCAGTCATAACATCTCTGTGCTCTCCTGCAGGTGTGCATTTCCTTTAACTGCTGTTGTTGCTGCTTATTGTGTCTAAGTTGGTTGCTAAAATGAGACCAGATGTAATTTTCCCAGTCAACTCTAGATTTCCCAGCAACATTCCCTTGTGCACGTATGAATAACTTAATACAGAGACTCAATGAGACTCTGAAATTTGGTCTAGTTCCTGTCGGCTTAACGTCTGCTGGTGTCATGCCTGTATATGTACAACTCAGCCGGATACCCCAAGTACAAGTGCCATCAGTTTGCCTTTTCTGTAAAAGCTATCCTATAGAACAAGCAGTGGCAGGTCAATTGCAATCTAGTGAACTCTGTTATTTGCAGTCAGGGTGCAGCACTGACACTGTCCTTAAGACAATCGATTAGTATTCTGCTTCTTCAGCTTTTGAAACCGTCAATCCCAGTTTCCTGCTGGATCAGACCGAAAATTGTCTTAGGGATCGTTTGTACCTTGTTGGCATGGCTTCTGTTTTGCTACCAGGAGCCAGTTTGCAGATCTTTACGGTATTAAAAATGAAGTTGTTCAGCTTTGTCAAGGTGGCCCTCAAGGCGCTGTGCTAGGACCTTTACTTCTTCAGATTTTCACGGCGTCTCTTTGTTCAGATTTATTTCCAGGTCAAATCTAGCACTGTCGTGGTTTCGGTACTTTACAGGTGCCAGTCTGCCACTGAGACACGGATGCAACAGAACTTTAAGTCTAAACTGTGCCAGGAGGCTCTGTTCATAGGCTCACAACAGCTTTGCCAAGCTGATGACTTCAGTGTTGTTATTAACCCTGTGTTGTCATTGGAAACTTATGGTCCCAATGTCACAATTTCGTCCGTTTGTGTAACATTTGCTTCCTTGCACTTGTCTATCTGGTGCTAAAATACTGTTTAAATCGCTTTCTTTGGCGCTGCCCTGCTGTGACACGGACACCTGTGCTCCTGTACTTTCTGTAGTTTTTTTTTCTTTATTCCTTATTGGTTGGTTATTTTCGTTGTTGTTGTTTTGCTATTTTTCTTCTTTCTTTTGGTTCTTGTTTATGTTTGCTTTTTTTAAAGGTGTTGTAGCATATCTAGTTTACTAAACTACACAACACTGTCACGAACAGTTCTTTCCCGGCCCTCTGCAGACGACACGATCCGGAAGGGAGTGTGGAAACGCTAGGAAAAAGTCATGCAGGAGAGGGTATGGAGACAGGGGGCGTTGTCAAGGGGTGCAGGTGTCCAGGGGGAGTGAATCCGGGGCGAACTATCCATGAGTTAATCCAAACGGGTCATTCAAGACAGAAGGTAGAGTCCAAGGCCAGGGGATCCATCCAGGAAATAAAACCATGAACCGGGTCGGGACCGGCATGGGGAATCGGGAACAGAAGGTTAAAACCATAACGGAGCCAGACACTCACGAAGCGGGATTCAATGAGGAACCAGGAGTGACGTCTGCGTCTGGCTTTTAAGGTGGAATGGAAATAAGAAACAGGTGCAGGTAATGGGGCAAAACAAGGAAGGGCTGCAGTATCCTTAAGAGGAGGAGTAGCGATCGTGACAAATACTATTTTCTTATTTTTTGTAATGGAGCAATGTGCAATGTTTTTCTTTCTTCTCAGTTTTTTTGTTTGCATTCTGTCTAAATGTACAGGAGTGCTGTGTGTCCATAAAAAAATCCCTCAATAAAATCTTATATAATTAAGTGTACACTACTGAAAAGTTTTTCTTAAAAGTGTTTCTCCCCTATTCTGGAAATTGCACAGGGTCCTTTCTAAGTTTCTTCTGCACACTTATTAGACTCAAAAATAATTGCATAGGTGTAATTCAGCTCTTAGTCTGGGATCTGCTAATTCAAGCCTTCTTTATCTGCAAAGGACCAGGCTTCACACAATGAAAGATACAGCTTTCTAGTGTGCAGCACCACATCTGTGGAGCTCACTGCCCCCAATCCATTAGAGACTCTGTGACTGTCAACGTTTTCAAGACTGGCTTAAAGACCTGTCTTTTCTCTAAAGCCTTTTAATGTATAATTTATTTTACTTCTGGTTCCAATAAGTCAGTCTGCTGTGCCTTTTCACTTTTATTTTGCTTCTGTTGTGCATTATACAGCATGTGAGCAATTGTACGGCGCTTTTGAGTTTCTTGAAAAGTGCTCATAAATTAAAATATTATTACTGTCTGACATCTGTATATCATCTGGACTATATCCAACCATCATTCCATTATCTTAAAGACTGTCATTCCTGGCAAGGGTCTCGGCCACCTGGAGCTCATTCTCGAAGCACAGGTCACCTGTTTATCGCAGGGGCATCTGGATTAGAAATGAATGGATTTTACATTAGAATCAGTAGAATGCAGGTGTGCTTGTTTCTTCTGTTTTCTAGATCTTTTCTGCAACTGAGCACAGTACTTCCTATATGTGATTCTGCTCTTTGCGAATATGTTGTATTCTTTTTGCAAGTCAGAGGGGTTTAAGCATTTGCAAACGTTTTTGGAGGGAGGGAATGTTTCAGTGTTTCTCTGGTTTAAATGAATCCAGAGAGTTCCCTCATATATTTTGACATTCGAGTTGAATCCCGAGTTTTCGGGGGAGATGCTGACCAGATGTCACTCTCCTTGTCTGGCAGTTCTCACCAGATGTTTCATAGCATCAGTCAGCCAGTAATCCAGATGTTACTCCTGTCTCTTTTCCTGTAGCACACTGTATCATTAGGTTAAAACGATTTGTAAAATTTGATAAAGCCTTATAATAAACTGAACTGACAATACAAATTAAAAAACAGTAAAAACATAGCATAACTACAACATTGCACAGTCTCACCGACAGAAGTGGAAATTTGTCTGATAACACGTATGAGCCTCTAAATGAACTTAATTAGATTTGTAGTCATTTTGAAAATGAGGAGCGGCAAACTTCAGTTTTCTTCAGTTCCGCTTGGAATGGAATAACGTTGCTTGCTGATGTAGGACAAGTGTCATCTTGATTAGGGTGTGACAGTCCTCACCTTTCTTCCAAAGGATCATGACGCCAAACATCTGGATGACAAAGACCACCGGGATGCAGATGAAGCCTCGGAGAAAACAACTCCCAGCAAAGCCCCCAAATCCCCTCAGAAGACCTCCAAAAGGCCCAAAACTGTTCTCTTCAAGGTGACTCTGCTCGACAGCTCCGAGTATGAAGACGAGATTGAGGTAAGTGCTGGGTCGATAGATACCAGAACATTGTTGAGATGATGTTGGCTTATTGACTATATTTTCAAATGATATGAACACAGCTCATTTTATTTTTCAAGAATTGTAGCTGGAACTTCTTGGCTTTTCTGAATTAACACAGTGCAATTGGCAAACTCACCAGCCGCAGGCCACTGTGAAGCAATTGTTCATCCCGATTCGGGAACATGGAAGTGACCTCTGTAGCTATGGGTCACAAAACCAACGTGCTCTCATTCTAATTTCCAGTGGTACTCTATTTTAGCAAAATATAATAAGGACTGGGCAAATCATAATGAAATAAGGCCTAGAGGTGTGATGAAGCAAGATATAGTCTTGTATGGCAATGTCAGTGCGTAATGTGGAAAGCATGACGAAACACCAAAAAACAGCCAGAGAGTTCACACATGTTCAGAGCAACAAAGAAGAAAGTTCAATCAGAGCGGTAAAGTACGCAGGCTGTCAGTTAGGCTACATTAGAGAGTGTGTTGTAAGCCGCTCTTTTAAACAAGCCTGGTGGAATTTGTCCAGCTGAAACAGGAAGAGGAAAGGCTGATTGGAAAGGCAGCAGAGTTCATGACACAAGAAGGTCTGCTGTCTCTCCCTTTGTGCACGAGCGGAGCCCGTTCAGAGTCCCGCTGGTGTGCCTTCTGACAGAGTGGAGCCCGGCTTGTCTGCACGGAGGTGTCCTTCCTTGTTTCACGCAGGTGGTGCTGTTTGAGTTGACGGTGCCTAATCCTAAGTGCCGCCACACAAGGGTCCCCCTCAGACTCTGGTAGGGATGCCCCCATGCAGTGCTGCAAAAGAGTATCATAGGTCAGCACTGGCAATGGCAGAGGTGAAAAT